GACTTCTACTAACCGGATTGTTTCCTAGTTTATGACTTTGGCCAATCTGTTCAACTGTACATGTCTGTAGCTGTTAAATTTTATTCTTCACGCTTATCTTGTTCTTTAGCCCTGTGGTGTGGACTACGAACTCCGAGCCTACATAGCCGAGGAGTGTGACGAAAAGCCGCAAGCTCGGTACGTGTTCTCTACTTTTAAGATTTTACTTGTCAGCGGGTCCCTCAGTACATATGTCGTTTTTGGGCCAGTGGTTGCTTTTTTGGAAAAATAACAAATATGTTTTTTTTCTAATCCATGTATAAAGCATTTACAGTTCGCCCTCCCTATCTCTTCTCACTAACACATTTTTCCTTTTCAAACTGTCACATTTTCCGGTGTTGGGTTGTGTTTTTTTTGTGCAGTTTAATTCCTTTGCTCACTAAGCTATCTCTTATGTCGTCATGTTTTTGCGTTTGTAATGACCGATTTAGTGCTGCGCTCGGCGGGTAGCAGGCTCACGACCAAACCCGAACCGACTGAAACATTCGTGTTGCAGTCCCCTGAAGTCACATTTTTCCATGTTCATGATAATTTCAATTAATGCCTTCGTCACTGTCCCCAGCCAGGACCAGGTTCGGGCGAGGTGAAATTCCGGACGATTTGAGCCTTGGGTTTCTAAAATGGGAGTAAATAAAACTGTAGGTGGAGGGCGGGATTCGAAACGGGGGCGAATTTGGCTGGACCAATTACTGTGCACGCAAACTGGGCGATAGCGTCTGATGTCACGCCCTTCTCCCACTGTGTCCTTAACTGTCCACAAAACCACAAATTTAGCTATAGTTATGTCTGTAGTAGAATAGGTATTGCAGTTTTTGTAACGAGAACGGTAGCAATGTAAACGCGGTCACTGTAAGAGGTGATTCTGGTTATAGTTAACGTGCGGCTTTGCTGATATACACTATTGGGCCGCGTAAACGTAAGTTTGTTTTTCGCCTGGCCTGATTCAGGGCTGATAGTTGCTTGTGCCCGTGGTATGCTTTGAGCAGGCGCTCATTCATTTCCAAACCTACGTCTCAGCGAACAAACTTTCCCTGCTTCCGACTTGGAGGAATGGTTACTAGCGTGAACTTTTTGTGCTGGACTAAGTCATAAAATCTGCCAATCTCTGCACGATATGCCTTTGCATGCCACCACGAGTGAGTGTTTGGCACCCAAATTTTCTGCCTTCAGCAAAACATGGCTTTGGGCGTTTGGCTCTTATATGGTGCTGGCTCCTTGTCGCCGGACATAAGGTGTCTGCACACCTATGTTTTGTTCTATCTTGACTTACCAGGTTAACGTACCGAAACTAATCCCCTTGTCGCAGTGGTACTGTCAGGTTACTGCCTCTTTGATTAACAGAAGGGTTTCCCTCTTAATTTGCCTACATTTTTAATTGTTATTCAAATTAATGCAAGTCATGTCATCTCATTTAACAATCTCAAAATCTTCGTATGAACTCAGTGGCTGAACTGCATACCTGCGTGAGTTCACGGAAGTCCATTATACTCGTCTTGTTTTTATATTCCCAATAAAATTTCATGTCATCGAAGGCGTTCCTAGGTAAGGTTACTCGAATTTCCTATTACTCGCTACACAGCTGGTCAATAGCGGTGAGACTGCATGACACGTAATCAGATTACTTATTTCAACGGAGCACCTCTTCCCGTGTTAGCCTAACCTCGGGGTCGACAACCCATGGCTCGCGAGCCATCTATGGCTCTTTCGATGATCGCCTATGGCTCTTTCAGAAACTTTAGATTTTATGATTTTGGTTGCTCTTTACGGGTCTAAGTAGTGGGTTGTACTCGGATCACTCCAATCATCAGGCCAAATCCCAGGTTGGAAGTTTAAAGACACAAGTCACCAGAAGGAGTGTTTTATTATGTACAAAACTCCCAGTTGCTGTCCCAGGTGGCAGTGGCCACTGGCGAAGCCAGGGCTA